GGGGTTATAACACAAGAGTATGATTATAATATTTTTTATATGGTATATTTTTTATATTGATACATTAATATTCTTAAACCTGTATAAGTGATGGAACACAAACAGTAGCTTGGAGAAGTAATGGCTCTAACCCCAAATCTGAACCATGGTCGAAAAAGTGATGTCTTCATCAATGGATCCATACTTTAAATCAATCAAGACATGGTTGAGGCAAAAGAGGTGTGGTCCTGAAGGATCACGAGGAGTTGCTGTTCTTTGTCCCATCTACTTAACTATCTTATCAGCCTTGATATTGACATCATTTCCTGCACATGATCCAGCCATGGAATCACTACTTGATCACCAGAGCTAGCTAACTATTACTCTTTCAATGACTTTCTTCTTTTGATTTGGAATGCAACAATAATAGTGCCGCTGGTATAGGTTTCTGCCCGCTTTCTTTTATGAAATTTCAATCTAGTCTGATTTCTTGATCATCCGTCACGTTGTTAGTTAATGTTCTCCTAACTCTAACCGTATGCGTTGCTACCAATTCAATTTTCTTATGCATTTTTCACACCTACTTTCACCAGCACCCTTTCTGCCTCAACTATTTTTACTGTCTGATAATTGAAAAATTCATAGGTATGTCTAAAATATCGGCTCATGGCGGTTCTGGACTCAGTGCCCACTTTAACTAGTCTAAGGATAGAAAAAATAAACACTAAAGCAACAAAGTATTATGCAAATTATGCAATAAATCATTAATTTTAAATATTTCATTTATGACATGATGTATAGAAAGTACTAGTTAGTTATTTTACTCGTGTTTTGCTATGAACCAGATATTTTCTTTTTAATGAAAAAAATTTTATGTAAGCTTTTCCGAGTCATTTTCTTACATAAAAAATTTTAAATGTAAATTAAAAAGCTTATATATATATATATATATATATATATAATTAAATAAATCAAAAACTATATGTGTCAATAAATAAAATAAAAAATTATTAACGATAATTAAAGACATAACTAGAAAAATCAAGAGACAGGTATAGATGAAAATATTTAATTTCACAACATGAGTCATTTACCTGGTTGTGTTTAATTATTTTATTTATTAAAATAAATTTTATTACTTAATCAAATGATAGTAGAAATAAACAAACACAAAATTAATTGAATAAAATCAAAGAAATAAATATTAAGCAAGGTTGCGCTCATTAGAAATATTATCAAAACTAAATATTTAATATTTTTTAAAATAAAATTCATTTATATAACACATAAAAAAAAATCATAAATGGATAAGAATAATCTTTTCAAAAATTTAATACATACAATTGTTATTTAATACAATCTAAACAGAGAGAGAGAAGGTACTAAATTAAATATAAATTAAAAAGAGGTGAGGCCATCACGCTTGGGCCATTTAGAAAGGGCACGTGAGTGGGCTATCCAAAAATAAATATTTATTTTTTAAATAAAATTTATTTATATAAAACATAGAAAAAAATCATAGATGAATAAGAATAATTTTTTAAAAAAATTAAATATATAATGAATAAGAATAATCTTTTTAAAAATTAAATACATACAACTGTCATTTAAAATAATCTAAATAAAAAAAAGTGA